GGCGTGGATATTTTAAAAATATTTTTTTCAGAAGTCACCCGAGGCGTGGATATTTTAAAAATAATTTTTTTTTCAAAAGTCGCCAGTAACAATCACCCGAGGCGTGAATATTTTGAAAATATTTTAATAATATTTCAAAAATTTAATAATATTTTAAAAATATTTTTTTCAAGAGTCACCTGAGGTGTGGATATTTTAAAAATATTTTTTTTCACGAGCCACCAGAAACAATCACCCGACGCGTGGGTATTTTGAAAATATTTAATAATATTTTAAAAATTTATTAATATTTTAAAAATATTTTTTTGAAGAATCACCGGAGGCGTGGATATTTTAAAAATATTTTTTTAAGAGTCACCAGAGGCGTGGATATTTTAAAAATATTTTTTAAGAATCGCCAAAACCGTGGATTTTTTAAAAATATTTTTTATACGAATCGCCAAAGGCGGTTTTTTTAAAAATACTATTTTATAAGAATCAAACCCATCAATTTAAAAATAGTTTTTTTCAAGAGTCATCAGGTCAGCTATAGGTCAGTTTTCACCTTGCAAAAAATATTCGCTACAGGTCCACCAATTGATATAGCCCCCTTGTAAAGGTACCTCCCAATTTTCGGTATTTTAAAGATTTCTGCCACAATTTCCAACCAAATTAGCTAAAACTTTGCAACCAAACCAAATTAGCTAAAACTGCAAAAAAACCATAAAAACGACTTATTATGCACTTCTAGCTCCTTTTCCGAATTTTTTTCTTGATAATCTATTTTTTAGAAGTTTTATACAGTTTATGACGTTTGTTACACAATGTCAAAAGTGTTCAAGTGTTTGAGGGCATTTTATATAGTTTCACAAGCTTTTTGACGTTTTTGACATTTACGACATTTTGTCAAAAACTCCAAAAATTGACATAGAAAGCATAATATCGATGTATTATCCATTTGTAACGTCATTTCATACCTTTTTTCCTTCGATAATCGACTTTTTACATGTTTTATACATTATTATACGTTTTTGACAAAATGTCAAAAACCTCAAAATCATCAAAAATTTTATTTTTCCGCATATTAAGTATGTTTAAGGATGTTTTGAACAGTTTTTCTAGGTTTTATACATTTTTGACAATTTACGACATTTTGTCAAAAACTCCAAAAATGCTCAAATAATCCTTAATAACAGTTCTTTATTAGTTTCTATTGTCAATACATACCTATTTTCGTATGATAATCCATTTTTTACACGTTTTATACAGTTTTTGACTTTTGTGACACATTGTCAAAAACCTCAAAATTATTCTAAAATTTGTTTCTAAGAATAATTGAAGTGTTTGAGGGTATTTTATATAGTTTCACAAAGTTTTTACGTTTTTGACATTTACGACATTTTGTCGAAAAACCCAAAAAAGGACGTAAAAAGCATAATATCGATGTATTATCCATTTCCAACTTCATTTCATACCATTTTCCCTTCGCTAATAGACTTTTTACATGTTTTATACATTATTATACGTTTTTGACAAAATGTCAAAAACATCAAAATCATCACAAAATCTATTTCTCCGCATATTACTTATGTTTAAGGGATATTTTGAATAGTTTTTCCAGGTTTTATACATTTTTGACATTTACGACATTTTGTCAAAAACTCCTAAAATGGTCAAATAACAGCTCTTTATTAATTTTTATTTTCAATTCATATTTATTTTCATTTTTTACACGTTTTATACAGTTTATTACGATTGTTACACAATGTCAAAAACCTCAAAATTATTCTAAAAATTGTTTCTAAGAATAATTGAAGTGTTTGGGGTCATTTTATATAATTTTACAAGCTTTTTGACGTTTTTGACATTTACGACATTTTGTCGAAAAACCCAAAAATGGACGTAGAAAGCATAATATCGATGTATTATCCATGTCCAACTTCATTTCATACCATTTTCCCTTCGCTAATTGACTTTTTACATGTTTTATACACTATTATACGTTTTTGACAAAATGTCAAAAACCTTAAAATCATCACAAAATCTATTTTTTCCGCATATTAAGTATGTTCAAGGGTATTTTGATCATTTTTTCTAGGTTTTATACATTTTTGACAATTTACGACTTTTTGTCAAAAACTCCAAAAATGGTCAAGCAAACCTTAATAACAGTTCTTTATTAGTTTCTATTGTCAATTCATACCTATTTTCATATGATAATCCATTTTTTACACGTTTTATACAGTTTTTGACTTTTGTGACACATTGTCAAAAACCTCAAAGTTATTCTAAAATTTGTTTCTAAGAATAATTGAAGTGTTTGAGGGCATTTTATATAGTTTTACAAGCTTTTTGACGTTTTTGACATTTACGACATTTTGTCGAAAACTCAAAAAATTTACATAAAAAGTATAATATCGATGTATTATACATTTCTAGCTTCATTGCATACCTTATTCCCTTCGATAATCGACTTTTTACATGTTTTATACATTATTATACGTTTTTGACAATTTGTCAAAAACCTCAAAATCATCCCAATAGTTATTTCTCGATATGTTAAATGTGTCTGTAGGGTATTTTGAACAGTTTTTCTAGGTTTTATACATTTTTGACATTTACGACATTTTGTCAAAAACTCCTAAAATGGTCAAATAATCCTTAATAACAGCTCTTTATTAATTTTTATTGTCAATACATACCTATTTTCATATGATAATCCATTTTTTACACGTTTTATACAGTTTTTGACTTTTGTGACACATTGTCAAAAACCTCAAAATCATTCTAAAATTTGTTTCAAAGGAAAATTCAAGTGTTTGTGGGGATATTATATAGAGTTTAACAAGCTTTTTGACGTTTTTGACATTTACGACATTTTGTCAAAAACTCCAAAAATTGACATAGACAGCCTAATATCGATGTATTATACATTTCTAGCTTAATTGCATACCTTTTTTCCTTCGATAATCGACTTTTTACATGTTTTATACACTATTATACGTTTTTGACAGAATGTCAAAAACCTCAAAATCATCCCAATAGTTATTTCTCGATATGTTAAATGTGTTTGAGGGTATTTTGAACAGTTTTTCTAGGTTTTATACATTTTTGACATTTACGACATTTTGTCAAAAACTCCCAAAATTGTCAAACAACCATTAACAACAGCTCTTTATTAATTTTTATTGTCAATTCATATCTATTTTCATATGATAATCCATTTTTTACACGTTTTATACAGTATATGACGTTTTTTACACAATGTCAAAAACCTCAAAATTATTCTAAAATTTATTTCAAAGAAAAATTCAAGTATTTGAGGGTATTTTATATAGTTTTACAAGCTTTTTGACGTTTTTGACATTTACGACATTTTGTCAAAAACTACAAAAATTGACATAGAAAGCATAATATCGATGTATTATCCATTTTCAACTTCATTTCATACCTTTTTCCCTTCGATAATTGACTTTTTACATGTTTTATACATTCATATACATTTTTGACAGAATGTCAAAAACCTCAAAATTATCACAAAATCTATTTTTCCGCATATTAAGTATGTTCAAGGGTATTTTGATTAGTTTTTCTAGGTTTTTCTGTTCAAGGGTATTTTGATTAGTTTTTCTAGGTTTTATACATTTTTGACATTTACGACATTTTGTCAAAAAACTTCAAAAATGGTCAAGCAGCCCTTATTAACAGTTCTTTATTAGTTTCTATTGTCAATTCATACCTTTTGTTTATTTGATAATCCATTTTTTACACGTTTTATACAGTTTATGACGTTTTTTACACAATATCACAAACCTCAAAATCATTCTAAAATTTATTTCAAAGAAAAATTCAAGTATTTGAGGGTATTTTATATAGCTTTACAAGCTTTTTGACGTTTTTGACATTTACGACATTTTGTCGAAAACTCCAAAAATTTATATAAAAAGCATAATATCGATGTATTATCCATTTGTAACGTCATTGCATACTTTTTTCCTTCGATAATTGACTTTTTACATGTTTTATACATTATTATACGTTTTTGACAAAATGTCAAAAACTTTAAAATCATCACAAAATCTATTTCTCTGCATATTAAGTAAGTTCAAGGGTATTTTGATCAGTTTTTCTAGGTTTTATACATTTTTGACAATTTATGACATTTTGTCAAAAACTCCTAAAATGGTCAAGCAACCCTTAATAACAGTCTTTATTAGTTTCTATTGTCAATTCATACCTATTTTCATATGATAATCCATTTTTTACACGTTTTATACAGTTTTTGACGTTTTTTACACAATGTCAAAAACCTCAAAATTATTCTAAAATTTGTTTCTAAGAATAATTGAAGTGTTTGAGGGTATTTTATATAGTTTTACAAGCTTTTTGACGTTTTTGACATTTACGACATTTTGTCGAAAACTCCAAAAATTTACATAAAAAGCATAATATCGATGTATTATACATTTCTAGCTTCATTGCATACCTTTTTTCCTTCGATAATTAACTTTTTACATGTTTTATACATTATTATACGTTTTTGACAAAATGTCAAAAACTTCAAAATCATCCCAATAGTTATTTCTCGATATGTTAAATGTGTTTGAGGGTATTTTGAACAGTTTTTCTAGGTTTTATACATTTTTGACAATTTACGACATTTTGTCAAAAACTCCAAAAATGCTCAAATAATCCTTAACAACAGCTCTTTATTAATTTTTATTGTCAATTCATACCTTTTGTTCTTATGATCATCGATTTTTTACACGTTTTATACAGTTTATGACGTTTGTGACACATTGTCAAAAACCTCAAAATTAATTCCAAAATGTATTTCTAAAAATAATCGATGTGTTTCAAAATTTCCATGTGAGTCATTGATAGGTGAAGGTATTATTTAAAGATGGGTTGATATAAATATTTTTATAATTTTTCAAAATTTCCCTGCGAGTCACTGCAAAACCGCAATCATTTGTTAATTTTTTTTAATTTTTTTTTTTTTTAAATAAATCGACGCCACCCAGTATTTAAATCCAAGTTGTTTAGAAAATATTGGCACAGTATCGCACCAGCCAGCCATCGATATTATTCCTCTACAATTTTCACCATGAACGTTTTGATTTTGTGGACCCTGCTCTTCGGAATTATGGCTTTACTTGGCAACAATATAACCGAGGCTCGAAAGAGGCAGCACTGGAACCCAGGCTGCAAAGGAATAAATTGTTATGGCGATAACCCCTTGGGACTGAAACCCCTTAAAGAACTTAAAAGTGGAGCGAAAAAACCCAACGAAAAAGTGATTTAATAAAGGGTTGGAATGGAATATTTAAAATAAAAAAAAAAAAAATAAATAAATAAATAAATAAATTAAAAAACAAAAAAAAAAAATAAATAAATAAATAAAATATATATATAAAAAAAATAAAATTAAATAACAAATAATAAAAAATGGATTTTGAAAATTGCAAATTTTAAGAATTTTTTTTTTTTTTTGTTGAAATGTCGATTTTTTTGATATTTCAAGGATCCACTTACCTGAAAAATAATTTTTTAATTTTTTTCAATTTGATTTTGAAATTTTTGGACTTACCTGAAAACAAAAAAAATAATTTTTCCATTTACATTTATTTAATAAAAAATATAAAAATAAATATTTTTTCAACCACAAAAAATATAAAACTTTGCCAACTGATCTCCATCAAACCACCGACTGTGGTTTTGTGGCCTGTGTGTGTGTGGGGGGTATTGGAAGGAAATTTTATTATCGATCAGGGCAATTTTACTCCGGTTATCTTTTCATTTAAGAATGGCTTTTGTCTGGATCAGTACTACTCTGGTAGTTGTCTCAATCATATTTTCCCATCAAGTTGAGGCTAGGGTTGCAAACTTGCATGGCCGGGAATCTAGAACCCAATTTAATGGCAATTATTATGGCATGGGGACAAGAGGGTGAGTTTTTTTTAATCACAATTCCAAATCAGCAGATGTTAACAAAGAAAACTCTTTTCAGTTTTTATATTTCAAGAGCCCCACCCATGGTTAAGCCCATCAATGAAAGGATGTTGGATATTTTCGAAGCGATGATCAAGTCATTTCGATATAATATTTTTAGATCAGAAGATGAGTAAATAAATTAAAAATAATTTAAAAGAAATATTTTAGAAATATAAAAATCTACGACTATAAATGGGAATTGGAAATAATTTTTAAAAAATTCTGGGACTAAAAAATATTTTAAAAAATGTACGTCTATGAATGGGTCTTGAAAAAATATTTTTAAAAAATCCACGTCCATCAGTGGGACTTGAAAAAATATTTTTAAAAAATCCACGTCCATCAGTGGGACTTGAAAAAATATTTTTAAAAAATCCACGTCCATCAGTGGGACTTGAAAAAATATTTTTAAAAAATCCACGTCCATCAGTGGGACTTGAAAAAATATTTTTAAAAAATCCACGTCCATCAGTGGGACTTGAAAAAATATTTTTAAAAAATCCACGTACATCAGTGGGACTTGCAAAAATATTTTTAAAAAATCCACGTCCATCAGTGGGACTTGAAAAAATATTTTTAAAAAATCCACGTCCATCAGTGGGACTTGAAAAAATATTTTTAAAAAATCCACGTCCATCAGTGGGACTTGAAAAAATATTTTTAAAAAATCCACGTCCATCAGTGGGACTTGAAAAAATATTTTTAAAAAAATATACACCTCCCTTAATGGGTTTTGGATATTTTTGTTTAAATTCAGTTTCGAAAATTAAAACAAAAGAATTATGTTTTTTTTATTTTTAGAAAACTTATTGTTTTCTCTTCATGACTAACCTCAACTAAGTTCAGAATTAAATCTGTGGTCGCCATAATTATTTACAGACTAATAATTGTTTATTAAAATCCATGATAAATCAATCATTAAGTGGCATGGCAATATGTGACCACTTATGGAGTATAAAGAGAAAAGCTTAGGAGGAAATTTTGAACAGACTTCTGGTACCCCTTGCATAGAAAACATCATGAATTTCACATATTTGTTTTTGGTAGTAATTGTCTTCATGGCCATATTCACAACTCAAATAGAGGCCAATAGACGTGGCCAAAATGGTGGAAGAAACAAGAAAACGTATGCGAAAAAATCAAATGGTAATGGCGGCGGCGGCCGAGGTAGATACTCCGGTCAGGACAAAAGAAAACAGGGCAGGGGAGGAGGAGGTAGAGGAGGAAGTACCACAAATGAGCTGATTAGAGCCGGTGTAAGTAGATATTTGAAATCTTTTGGGAATTTCGGCTTTAATTTTTTTCTGTCCTTCCCCTGTAGGCTCATATTGGCGGCAAAGCAGTTGAAGGTATGGGTGTGGCTCTTGTCCAAAAAATTGGTTAAAGTTTTATAAAAATTTTTAATGTGAAAAATAAATATTTTCCTCAGAAAAAATGCCACGAGTTTCCTGGCCTGGGGTTGTTTGGGACTTGTTTTTAAAATATTATTTCAATTCCTAAGCAGGGTTTTTTTTTTTAATTTTACATATATTTTATTTTTTTTTAATATTCAGTCCCACTGATGAACGAGGATGTGGGTTAAAAAATTCTAAGGACATTTATAGACGTGGATTTTAAAAAAAAAAAAAAATTCCGAACACCCATTTTTATATGTGAATTTTTCAAAATATTTTTCCAATTCCCATTTACAGACGTGGATTTTTTAAAAGAAAATTTCCGAGTTCCATTTATAGACGTGAATTTTTTAAAAATATTTTTTAAGGTCCATTTATAGACGTGCATTTTTTAAAAATATTTTTTCCATAGCCTGATTTTTTAAAAATATTTTTTCCAAGGCTAATTCATAAATGTGGATTTTTAAAAAAATATTTTTTCGAGGCCCATTTATAGACGTGGATTTTTTAAAAATATTTTTCCATGGTTCATTTATAGACGTGGATTTTTTTAAAAATATTTTTCCACTGTCCATTTATAGACGTGGATTTTTTAAAAATATTTTTCCACTGTCCATTTATAGACGTGGATTTTTTAAAAATATTTTTCCACTGTCCATTTATAGACGTGGTTTTTTTAAAAATATTTTTCCACTGTCCATTTATAGACGTGGTTTTTTTAAAAATATTTTTCCACTGTCCATTTATAGACGTGGTTTTTTTAAAAATATTTTTCCATGGTTCATTTATTGACGTGGATTTTTTAAAAACAATTTTCCACTGTCCATTTATAGACGTGGATTTTTTAAAAATATTTTTCCATGGTTCATTTATAGACGTGGATTTTTTTAAAAATATTTTTCCACAGTCCATTTATAGACGTGGATTTTTTAAAAATATTTTTTTCCAATACCCATTTTTTAAAAATATTTTTGCCAAATTGGATTTTTTTAAAATATTTTTTTCCAACACCCATTTTTTAAAAATATTTTTGCCAAGGTGAATTTTTAAAAATATTATTGCCAAGGCCCATCTATAGACGCGGATTTTTTAAAAATATTTTTTCCCAACACCCATTTTTTAAAAATATTTTTGCAAAGGTGGATTTTTAAAAATATTTTTGCCAAGGTCCATCTATAGACGAGGATTTTTTAAAAATATTTTTTCCAAGACTCTATAAAAGACCTGGATTTTTGTAAAATATTTTTTATAAGGCCCATTTATAGACATGGAGTTTTTAAAAATATTTTTTTTCAAGGCCCATTATTAGATGGGATATTTTTAAAATATTTTTTTCAAAGCATATTTTTCAAGGCGGATTTTTCACCAATATTTTCCAAAGCCCATTTATGGCTGTGGATTTTTTTTAAAATATTTTTTCTAAGACTTATAGATTTGGATTTTTTAAAAATATTTCGACAAGGCCAATTTATGAACGGGGACTTTTTAAAAATATTTTTTCAAGGTCCATTTATAGACTTGGATTTTTTTAGAAATATTATTCCCAACACCCATTTTTAGACGTGGATTTTTTAAAAATATTTTTTCAAGATCCATTTATAGAAGTGGATTTTTTAAAAATATTTTTTTCAAAGCTCATCTATAGACGTGGATTTTTTAAAAATATTTTTTTCAAGGCCCATTTATAGATGTAGATTGTGTTTTAATATTTTTTTCATGTTTGGATTTTTTAAAAATATTTTTTCCATGGCTAATTTATAGATGTGGATTTTTTTAAAAAAAAATATTTTTTTTCAAGGTCCATTTATAGACTTGGATTTTTTAAAAATATTTTTTCCAAGGTCCATTATAGACGTGGATTTTTTAAAAATATGTTTTCTAAGACCCGTCCATAGACGTGGATTTTTTAAAAATATTTTTCCAAGGAATATTTTTTGATGTGGTTTTTTTAAAATATTTTTTCCAAGACCTACTTATAGACGTGTATCTTCCCATAGATGAATTTTGTAAAAAAATTAAGTCGCATAGATGGACGTGATTTTTTTTTTTTTTTGAAAATATTTTTTCAAGTCTCAACCAGAAACGTCAATTTTTTAAGAAAATAGTTTTTAAGTCCATCCTCTGAATGACCTTCAGAAAAACTTGCCTATAGCAACTGTCACATACAAAAACCTTATTGTGTATACCACAAACCAAAAACGGTTAACAAATTCTGAGTCACCTTTTCATTTAAAACCTGCTGATGATTAGAAAAAGCATCTGACTCGCAGACTTAAAGTTGACCAGTTCCAAAAAAGAGGCAAACATTCTCAGCTGCAATGAAGTTTCGACAAATTTTCACCCTCATCGCTGTTATTGTGGCAATCTGCACGATTCCAAGTGAAGGAAGTACTTCCATGACTCAAAGGGAGAAAATTGCATTCATTACCGGTAAAGGTTCGCGATCTCAAAAATATGTATTTAAATAAATTATTGGGATATTATGAAAGACTAATGGCGTGGATATAAATGAAAAAAAAAAAAAACTGGAAATAAAAAATAAAATATATTAAAAATTTATTCCTTTTTAAGAGAATGGATTTTTAAATAATTTTTCAAGTGCCATTTATAGATGTGGATGTTTTTAAAAATATTTTCTTAGGCCTATTGATAGACGTGGATTTTTTAAAAATATTTTTTCCAAGGCCTTTTAATGTTTTTTTTAATATTTTTCAAGGCCCATTTATGGACGTGGATTTTTTGAAAATATTTTTTCCAAGGCCCATTTATAGACGTGGACTTTTTTAAAAATATTTTTTCCAAGACCTATTTATGGACGTGGATTGTTTAAAAATATTCTTTTCAAGGCCCATTTATAGACTTGGATTTCTTTTAAATATTTTTTCCAAGGCCCATCTATAGTCGTGGATTTTCTAAGAGTATTTTTGAAGGTTCCTTTATAGACGCGGATTTTTAAAAATATCTTTCCAAGACCCATCTATACACGTGGATTTTTTAAAAATATTTTTTGAAAGCCCCTTTATAGACGTGGATTTTTTTAAAATATTTTTTTCAAGGCCAATTTATAGACGTGGATTTTTTTAAATATTTTTTCAAGGCCCATTTCGAGACGTGGATTTTTTAAAATTATTTTTTCAAGGCCCATTTCGAGACTTGGATTTTTTAAAATTATTTTTTCAAGGCCCACTGATATGCGTGGATTTTTTAAAAATATTTTTTTCAAGGCCTATTTATAGACGTCGTTTTTTTAAATATTTTTTCCTAGGCCCACTTTTAGACATGTGTGGTTTAAAAATATTTTTCCAAGCCCTATTTATAGACGAGGATTTTTTAAAAATATTTTTCCCAGACCCATTAATAGACATGGAGTTTTTAAAAATAGTTATTCCTAGGCCCATTAATAGACGTGGAGTTTTAAAAAATATTTTTTCTAAGGCCCATTTATAGATGAGTATCTTTTTTAAATATTTTTTCCAAGACCCATTGATATACGTGGACTTTTCAAAAATATTTTTTGAAGGCTCATTTATAGACGTGGATTTTATAAAAATACTTTTTAATGTTTTTTTCTTTGATGATTTCCATCTGCCACCGTCTATTTTTTTTTTTTTTTTTTTTTTTTGTAAAAATATTTTCAGGGACTATCTATCAACGTCCGTATTTTTCAATATTTTTTCGAAGACCATCTACCAACGTGAATTTTTTTAAGATACTCTTCAAGGACCATCTACCAACGTGAATTTTATTTTAAATAAGTTTTAGGGGACAACTATCGACGTGGATGAATTTTTAAATATTTTTTTCAAGAACCATGTATCATCGCAGATGTTTTTAAAAATATTCTCCAAGCACCTACTATCAACGTGGATTTTTAAAAATATTATAATATATTAAATAATATATTAAAATATCCAGGAACATCTATCAAGGTGAATATTTTCAAAATATTATTCAAGGGCCATCTACTAACGTGTATATTTTTCACAAAATATTTTCGAAAACCCTCTACCAATGTGGATTTATTTTTAAAATATTTTTTCAAGGACCTTCCATCAATGACATGTCTTAAAAAAGTTTATTCAAAGACCGCCCATTAACGTAGTTTTATGAAAATATTTTTGCAAAGATCCTGCGTCGACGTGATATTTTAAAAATATTATTTGAAGGACCCCCTATCAACATGAATATTTCTATAATATTTTTCAAGGTCCCTCTTCCAAAGTGGATTTTTTGAAAATATTTTTTTAGGACCTTCCATCAACGTCATGTCTTGAAAATATGTTTTCAAGGACCCTGCATCGACGTGATGTTTTAAAAATTTTTTTTCAAGGACCCCCTATCAACGTGAATATTTCTATGATATTATTCGAGGTCCTTCAACCAAAGTGGATTTTTTGAAAATATTTTTTCAAGGACCCTGCATCAACATGATGTTTTGAAAATATTTGTTTAAGACCTTCCATCAACATGAGGTTTTGAAAATATTTTTCCAAGTACTCTGATGTTTTGAAAATATTTTTTTAAGCACCTTCCATGTCTTGGAAATATTTTTTAAGGACCTCTCATTAACGTAGTTTTATGAACATATTTTTTCAAGGACCTACCATCAATGCTATGTTTTGAAAATATGTTTTCAAGGATTTTCCATCAACGTCATGTCTTGAAAATATTTTTTAGGACCTTCCATCAACTGGAGGTTTTGAAAATATTTTTTCCAAGGACCCTGCGTCGACGTGATATTTTAAAAATACTATTTGAAGGACCCCCTATCAACGTTAATATTTCTATAATATTCTTCAAGATCCTTTTAAGAAAGTGGATTTTTTGAAAATATTTTTTCAAGGACCCTGCATCAACATGATGTTTTGAAAATATTTTCAGGATCTTCAATCAACATGACGTTTTGAAAATATTTTTTTCCACTTGCGTGAGGTTTTAAGGACCCTTCATCGACGCTAAGCTTTGAAAATATTTTTAGGACCTTCCACCAACGTGACGTTTTGAAAATATTTTTTCAGGACCCTGCATTATCGTTATTTCTTGGAAATATTTTTTCAAGGACCCTGCATCGAAGT